TGGACTCCCTCGGCTCGGCCCATGCGCGCATGCGGTCACAGAGGTTGCGTTGCAACGTAGAATGGAGCCATGCTGTTGCACAATGAGATCAAAGAAGTGAACGCGTGACCGGAGGTGCCCACCACATTCCTATGTGCAAGTTATGGTGAACAACTGAAACCTCGTAAAGGATTTGCCTGTGTGAGTCAATATGACCGACCGGGCAAGCTAAACTTAGCTAGCTTCGAGAAAAGAACCGCCTGGGAGGTGGGCAAGCCCGTCGGGCAGGGATGCGCGACTGGAATGCCTATCCGACAGGCGTGCCGCGGGCGCTGCGGACCCGAGCTCGGCCCGGGGTGGGGAGGGGAGGGGGGGACTTGCAACACGAAGGAGTCCAAACAGCATGGCCGATTGGTGCAGCACGCCGCGCTGCCCCCCCCCCTCCCCTTCCCCTCGCGTACCCGGCCGACCGAGAGCAAAGCAAACAGGATTGCAACACAGAGCAATGCGGAGTACCGCCGCCCCGCCCCGCCCCGCACCCCGCCGGCCGTGTGCACAGGGAGGGAGCCGCCCTAGCGCCGCCGCGGCTGTGGCGCCGGGTCGCCGGGTCACTTAGCACGTACGCGTCGCACCGAGGGGTACCAGGGGGTGGGAACCGGTGGCGACAGACTAGGCACAGCGCGAGAACATTTTAAAAAAGAATAACACACGCGGTCGCTCGTGCTCCTTCCTCGGTTCTACGGATCACTCTTCAAACGTTCTCTCTCTGAACGTTCAGGTCACTTCACTTCTTTCATTCATACCTAACCTTTATCAAACTCGACCTGATCAGGGGGTGCAGTCGTCCGTAGTTCCACAATACATATTTTACCAGCTTCAGCCGAGGTCACCAAACAATCTACCAACGATTTTGGAACCTTTCTTTGCCTGACCTGTGCTACATACGTCCAGAAAGTACCGGGTGATTATGCTAAAGTACGGGAGCTCGACGCCTGCGAGACTCCGGGTAGGCCACCCCGCCGTACACGCATGCACTGCGTGCAAAATATTGCCAACCTCTAAGGCGCTATGAGAGCTTGAACAGTCTGAGCTTGGCAATTTCAGACGGTGAATGACGGACGCACTTCCCTGACCAAAACAGCATCTATTGTGTTGGTGGGAGCGCTCGTCCATGAGTGTGTCGCTAATTTTAAATCGTACCGATTCGCAGCGATACGATGGCGAAGTCGGAAACATTCGCATACCCAGCCCTACCTATAGGTTGGCCTTGGGGTTGGCTCATACCTACCCTCCGCCTCCGCCCTGCGAGCTAATCTCCCTGCGGCTGATTGCCTCCTCACGACGCGACGCGGCGCCAACTGCCGGACAGCGCGTCGCGCTCGGTCACAAACACTTTACTGCGGCGGCGATTAGCCGACTCACCTATGTTGACGAGCTTGACGCCGTCCGCCTCGACCGCCTTGAGCGCGCAGGACACGTTCTCGAGGTGCTGGTGCCGGTTGCCCGGGCGGCGCACCCAGCCGCGCAGCGGCCGCTTCTGGAGCGCCTCCACCAGGGCGCACAGCCTGGTGCCGTCCTGGAGGTCCTGCGCCAGGTCGGCGACGTGGCCCAGGCCCGAGCCGCGCAGGTTCTCGTTGACCCAGTTGCGGAAGGTGTTGGCCTGGATCTCGACCCACAGGTCCTCGTGGCCCTTGATGGCCATCCCCTTGGCCGCATGGCCCTCCGGGGACCGCGCCGCCAGCCCCACCTGTGGACACAGAGAAAGCATGAGGGATAGTTGGAGAGCGCGGGCAGCGATGCTCCGCTCGTGGGAGCGGCAATGTCGAACCCACCAGAGCGCCGCCACGCCCTTCCGCAAAATGCACTGCCGACCTTGGGCCGGCCAATAACGCAGGGACTGACCAGGCCACTGCGGTGGGCGGTGGTCCACGCCGGCGCACTTTCGGGTCAAATTGTACACCGCAAGTAGGTGTATGCGCAACCGACAAAAATTGCATTATTCCTTCGCATTTCTTATTTACATCGATTCCACGCCACTTATAGGGAAGTCCATGCACCAAGAGACTAGGGCTTATGGATAGGCAACGGTGGGCGCCCGATCCGCTGCCGCGCCAGATGTTCGTCACGATATCTCAGCCACCGCTGCGATTTTCGGGTCGTTTGAAAGTGCGTTGGGCTCAGGAAGCTTGGGCGCATCGCCAAAATTCAAAAAAAGGTGCCACTTGACCCCGTCCCCGAGAGCTGGAGCCGCGCGAAGTCTGCCGAGCGCCATTCTCCCTACGGGGCCGACCTCCGAGCAGGCGCCGCCTAGAACCGTTCCGAAACGTTCTTTTCTGATTTCGCAGATTTCGCCGTTTCTTTCGTCGGGAAGGGCCGAAATGATCTTAGAATAATAAAAGACGAATTTTCATGACGTTTCAATACCATATTCAGCCCAGATAGACGATATTATTGAAGTCGGGTGCAGGGAGAAGTAAGTTATAGGTTATGGTACTCGTAGAACCAAGCAGCCACGGGTCCGAGCGGAGCTTCTGACGCCTTTTTTCATTCGAGTAAGTGATCTTGAGACATAAATACTTAACTTTGCGGTGTTTCCGATAGTGGATCATAACAACAGCGTGTAAACATTAAAAGTGGTTAGTTCAGGGCGGCATGGACCCGATCGTTCTTGTCACCTCCTTAACGAAAATCGGGTGGACATAACAACATTGTTGTGAGAAATGTATTAAATATTAATCATCTACACCCAAAAGTTAAAAGTTTATGTCTCGAAAAGACTTACTCGAATATTAACTGGCATCAGGAGCTCCGCTCGGACCCGTGGCTGCTTGGCTCTACGAGTACCATAACCTATACTTCTCCCTGCACCTAGTCTCTTGCATGCACGCAAGCCTCTTGAGTACACGCAGTCGTTGTCCCGAGCCACGCGACTTGATTCCAAAAACGCATTTCTTGGGAGTGCAATGCCATGCACTCCTGCCATCTTCCCCTCAACGACTTCTAAAGGTGCCCCCGTAACGAACGTCCCTCGTTGACCGCCAAAAATCTTCCGTTTGCCCAGGAAAGGGAGCGCCTGCACCTGCACTAGCAACGCCCGCCCTGCACCGAGGCGCTCAGGATGGGCCGCCGGCTCCACTCAGCTGCTCGGCGGGTCGGCCTACCCAGCGCGCTGCAGGCGCTATGGTCATTAGCGTCGCAAAGTGGGGTCAGGACGGGTAAGAGTTGGAAACCTCAAAGATGGGGAAGCATGGGACATACACTACGTGGATCAAGTTTTCATGCTTTTTGCCATAAAACCGGGCGTAAAACGCACATGCTGGAGTGCTTACTGTACTCCTCTAACACATGACTTAAATTATTAACCGATTTAGAGAAGTCACAATACTTTGTACTCGAGAGAAAACGTTGTAAAAGAGTGGAATAGATAGAGTGTTTCTGTTCGTTTGGAATCTGGAACTCTAGCGATTCCGTAAAGCTATATAACTTTTAACGACGGTCGATAAAAGCATTTTGGCAACAGCCCCATCGAAATCTATAAGTTTTCTTTACTGGGATCCCACCACCGCTCGGCGGGATCATAGTGCCCCGCCCCACCTCGCCGTCGACTGCGGTGCCCCTGCCCCCGCGGGGCCCTTCGCCGTTCACCTCCCCGCCCCTCCAGCCCCGCCACGCCGGCTGGCCGGGTCATCAGCACGATAAGGCGGGCCCCGGAGCCAGGCTCCTCGCCGGGCTCCTCGCCGGGCTCAGCTCAGGCCGGCCGGCTGATGTGCAGGAACCTGTTGCCCAACGCCTGACGGCGTCCCCGCCCCGCCTGCCCTCTCTCGATGCCTCGGCCGCCTCGCCGCGCCGGGTCACCAACCGGCCACGCAGGAGAGGCTGTATAGTTTTCCTCCGTTACAATACACCCATACACTACTCGTGAGACCCCCCCCCCCTCGGTGTCCAGCACCCCACTGACGACTCGACGCCTTGCTCGTCCCGATCGCGATGCCTCACAGGCGCCCTCGCCACCGGGACAGCAACCTCTGGAACGGCGTCCATTAGTGCTCTATGGATCGGCACCACGCTCTGGACGACCTCGAACTCCTCAAAATTATAAGCACAGCTATAATAGCAACTTCGTTAACAACTCTTTCCCGCGATGAATGAGTGGTCGTCTCCGGCCTTTTAACTTGTGCCTCCCAACTAGTTTCGTTCCAGACCCGACGGGTAGGTCTGCTGCGCCGGGCGCCGCTGATTGGTGGGTGCAAGATATGGGAGATGCGACACGACAGCACAGCTGACTGGTGGGGCGCGCGATGGGGCGCGACAGGACGGCTGATTGGCGAGGTGCGAGACGAGGCCCCGCGGGGCAGGAGAGCTGATCGGGAGCCACACGCGCCACGCCGGGGCCCGGGCTGATAAGCGATGACGCCGGTCACGATCCTCGGGGGACAGGACGGGGGGACAGCGCAGCAGAGCGGAGGGAGGGATAGCGACATGGAAGCAAAGAGACAGCGCCGGGCGGGTCCTGCCTGATCTTATCTGAAAGGTCGTTTGTTTGGACCACACGACAATACAGGGTGGGTGTTATGCGAGCCGCGCCCCCTTCTGGTTTTACGCATGCGCATGCATGCCTGCGAACGAGTTGCATACTCGCCGGGGGAAGGCAGGCGCCGTGGTGAGAGTCGGTAGGCAGGCCGCCCGCACGCCGTCAGGCATGTGGGACAGTGTAACCAGATGGGGGCGCGGCTTACAACACCCACCCTGTACAGCGACCGACCTGGGCCATTTGTCGCTCATCGACGCACGCCACGCCTGCCCTCCGGCCTCAGACTCCGCGACCCACCCGCGGCCCGGCCCGGCCCGACCCCCGACCGCAAGCGGCACGCGACCTTCGCCCCGCTTTTTATTTATTTCTCCCATTCCCAAATGCAAAGCGTCCCAACCATCCCTGACCCGAAGAAAAGAATGGCGGGGGCAAAACAATCGGCAGGCGGGCCTGAACTGGCGGGGCGGCGCGGGGCGGGGCGTAGCGCGGCAGTAGGCGGCACACGCGCGGCGGCGGAAACGTTTTGTTCCGACCGTACCGGCTCAGATCGGCCGCGCCGCTCCTAGGCCAGGCGGCGGGGCCCTGGCGGGGCCCGGCGGGGCCTGGCGGGGCCGCACTCCACTCCGGCCATGTGCCGTACATGGCGTGGGCCGGGCTGGCCGTGCCGCGGCCTGGCAGTCTGCCTGCCCGGCTGGCCGCGCGGCATTTCGTGGGCGCGTCTCCGGCGGCGGTCGCGGGTCGGGTTCGAAAGGAGCAGGGGGGCCTTCAGGGCCTCGAAACGGAGCCGCGGAGCGTCGCGACGTGCCGACACAAGCAGGCCGCGCGGCGGCGCGCCACGACGGCGAACCGCAGCAGCGTCCAAGGCCGCCCCGACGGCCGTGGTGGTTCGCAGCTGTCGGGTATGGTCCACCCTGGAGGGGTGGGACGAGTGCCGCAGGGGATGTCCGGAGCACGGTGTACACCGTGGTCCGGAGTCCTCCATCCCCGGCCCGGCACGGCCCCGCACCCCTCCCTGGTCCTCCCGTCGGCCGCACCTCCAACTCCAACCGGCCCGGTCCGCGCCGAGCCATACGGCCCGCACCGACATGTGCAAGGAAGTGCGCGAGCCGAGCGGCGCGGGCGTTACGCAACGGTGTGGAGCCCCCCCCCGGCCTGGAGTAAGTGACCCGCGGTTCAGGCGACGCGCCAGCGTTGCGCTCGCGACATATTATAGTGGCGGCGGCGTCCTATGTAGGACTACAAAGCACCCTCGGCTTGGCTGGGCGAGGACGGTCGTGAACATGGCCCGGGGGGCTACTGAACAGAGACCGCCACTAGGACACTACGGCTGACGCCGTACTGTACAGACTGTCAAGAAGGCGTGAGACTCAAACGGAAACTGCAAGGGACGTTTCTAATGCTGCCATTTATTTCCTCCCGCGTTGTCGATTCGCCTCACTCCGGTGCACACTCTGCGGAGAGACCCTTCCCTCTTTGTTCGCCGCGTTCGCACGTGTGTGTCCTCCGCCGCGCCGCACTGCGAACTCCCGTGGTGGCTGATAGGAAGTGGGTCAGTCGGGTCAACCATGGTAAAGTGACGCTGGAGGAGGGATGGGGAGGGAGGGGGCAACCGCCCATTCACAAATGCAGTGGGAATCACATGACGCCACCGCAGGAGTCGATCTCTGAGCGGCGCTTCATGAATGATCGGGCTCGCGATGCGACATGTGACAGGGGAGGAGCGGGGCGGGGTGGTGTGGTGGGTGATAGTAGAGGTGATAGCTGCCCCGCCGGCTGACGGCCAGGCAGCGCAGATCGTCGTGACAATCAATGCCCCACGGCCCCGCCCGGTCCAGTCCTGCGCTCCGGCCGCCCGGGGGGCCCGGCCCAGCCTCCCGGCCCAGCCTCCCGGCCCGGCGCGCTGTCCATCGTAACCGGTTGCATAAGCCCGGGCCGGCCGGGCGAAATAAAGGAAAAGGTCTGGTGCGGGGAGACAGGGAGTAGGGCGCCCGGCGCGCTCAGGGTCGCGGTCGGGCCCACGTCAGGCAACCAGGGGGTGGGTCCGGGAGGCGGCTTGTCAGGCAGGGTGGTTCCGCACATTGGTCAAGTCGTGCCCTCTCTCTCTCTCTCTCTCTCTCTCTCTCTCTCTCTCCCGGCTAGGACGGGGCCCCATCCCATGATTGCAACGAGGGCCGAGGTGTACGATGTACGAATCACCCAGCAGTAGGGTGATTCCGCGCAACGCGGCATTCGTACCTGCGTATGTGCCATCGTCGCACTCGTGGGTGACTGGCGTTAGCTGGGAGATAGATGAGAATACTAGCCACTGTACGGAATCAGACTGCAGGTGAGAGCGTGTGCGCCTCGGCCAGTCCGCCTCATGGCCCTGGCCCTCGTGGCTGGCGGTGGCCGGCGACACGTGAATCAGCTTCCGGCGCGCGCAGAAGTGAGGCGGGGAGGGGCGTTGTGAGTCCGACCCGACGTCTGCGGCGCGGGCCTCGCCCTCCCACACCCCTGGGGCCTGCTCGCGCTGAGCTCAGGGGCTGGACAAGTCAAGTAACCGCGCGTGCAACGGAACGGTGGCGGTTTAACGTGGGAATCGCGTGAATTAACGTGGGGCCGAATAGGGGGTGTTTGACGAATTTACAATTTGAGGGCATTTATGTAGCCCCTTGGATCTCCCTCCATCGCCCGGCGCACGCCGGTGAGTACGTGTGCTCCAGGAGCTCCAGGAGCCCGCGTGCTTCTCCAGGCGGGCCGGGAGGCTGGAGCCGCACCTCTCGCTCGCCGCGGAGCACAGGCCGGCCGTGGGTGTGCTGGGGCCGGCGGCCGGTCGGCCGGGGCTGTCCACAAACCACGTTAAACCGTCGACAAGAAATGTCTTCCACGGGTGGCAGTGTTAATGAAGAATCGCGAAACGCCAGTGAGAAGTCACCAAGTATTATCGGAAAAGGCATCGTCCAGGAAGTACGTCCGTTTTCCTCAAATTAATTCGCCAGATTGGGGGAGCTCGGCGCCTGCGAGACTCAAGGTAGGCCACCCCGCAGTACACGCATGCACTGCAGACTAGATTGTGTCTACCTACCAGGCGCTACGAGAGCTTGCTGGGGCTGAACTTAGCAGCTTCGCGACGGCGAATGACGGACGTACTTTCTGGAAGATCCCAAAGGGGACTGTTTCGTTTTCCGCCTTGCCCTTTGGTTGGCGGTTGGCTATGTCCCGGCAATTCTTGGTAACTTCTTCACTCCATTAAAAGATTTGACAGAATGCCCTATCGGAGGCAGTGGGCGTGCGACTCCCATCCCTCACGAACAGTTGTTGGGAGCCGCGACGACCCTGCTTCCAACCCCCTTGGCGTGAGTGAGGTGAGGCGCCCACGCCGCCACTCCGCTGGGGTGCCGCCTGGGGGGCGGGAGCAACGAGTGCGGCCGAAAGGCCCCCGAGACTTTGGCCGCATTTGGTGAGGATGACAGGGCCGCGTCTCGCCATCTGCTGCCGGCCCGACCCGGCCAGCCTCGCATCCATGCATCACCACGCCCCCTCCGCCGCGGCGCGTCATCTCAAGGTGAGCGCCCCGCCCCGCCCCGCCGCGCCCCGCCCGAGCAATGGCACAAGATGAGCGGTGCGTACTGAGTGCACGGTGCACACGGGCCCTCGGCGCCCTTGGTGGGGCGCAAGGTGCGGCCCGACTCTCCTGCTGTGTTCAGCACTGACCTCTGCCACACACGAACTGTCCTGTCCGGCGGGCCCAAGGTGAGGGCCCCCGGAGGGGAGAGGGGGGGGGGCGCTCCGCAACCATGCCCCGCACACCTGCTGCCGAAATCCACCCGGGACTGTCGCTCTCAATGTGACCCACAGCAACCATAGGGGAACTGAGACTGATGGAGGGGATGCTCGCCGACCCGAAGGACCTTGAGCTTGCTGCTGGGAGTCTCTCCGAGGACGGCTGGACGCCACCGTCCTGCGACTTCCAGGCGGGCCCGCGAGGCCGCGAGGGCGCCGACACTTCTGAGCCGCCCACGCGGTGCTCGCAGGTGTGTGCCGGTCCAGTGCGGCGGTGCTCGGGCAGCGCGGCTCCGCTCCACAGCACCCACCCGATGGTGGCCGTTGCCTCGCAGGGCATCGCGCCCTCGCCTTCAACAAGCTCGTGCGGCGCCCTGCACGGCCCTCTCCCGCAGCCGCGCTGGTCGGGCGCGCCGCCGAGCGCCGAGGACATCATGAGTGCCGTAAGGCTGACCGGCGGTACGTGGGCGTGTTGTATGGCAGCGGGGCCGCCTTCGGGGCCGCCGGCCGGAGTCGCGGACGCGCAGGGGCGTGCAGTCCACGAGAGGCTGCGCGCCCCGACTCCCCTCGTGGTATACTGCGCCGTTTCTTGGGATTCGTACGCTCCGCTCCCAGACATATACCTGCGATATTCGTAGGGGCTCCTCCGAAGTCATGGTTATCCGTTATTTTGCACACTGCACTCGCGTGGTTGTTTGATCTCTTTGGTTCGTTTTGATAGACTGCAGAGCGCGGCGGAGGGGGCGGCGGCGCGACGTGCACCGTCCTCGTCAACTTCAACTTGTACACTAAGGCCTGCCTGCCGCCTGCGCTGCGTCTCTGGTGGCTGAAGCCACTCCCGGCCCGGCCCGCGAACGCGAAGCCGCGCTCTCCCCTCCCTCCGCGCTCGCGCAACAGGTAACTCCAGCGTCCACCGCACGAAGCGCTACCTGCGCGCAGCTAAGCAGACCCAGCACGCAGCTATGGGTGGGCACCGAATGGCACGGGGCCTAGGTGCCAAGATGCTAATCCCTCTCTGTTGATGTCTTGATGAAGGCGCACAATTAGCTATACACACACAAGCAATATACCAGGCGGCTGATTCGCCCCACGCACTTTCGTGGTGATACTGTACCGCATGCATGCATGCGGGTGGGTTGCCTACTTGCACGGGGCCTTGGGGAGCCGTGGACAGCAAGCATGGGCAAACCCGCGCGCACCCGTGCACTGACGTGCATGACGTACGGCGTGAATCAGGCACGTAGTGTATAGATTTTTGATCAAAAATACATAAAATGTAGAAAGCGCACCTGGTCTGGACTGGCAGTGGGATAACATCAGTTTCGGCGTTATAACTAGTACATGTCAGGTAACGCTCAAGTAATGCCAGTAGGAGAAGCCTCCATGTGGCAAGGCGCCTGGTGGGTATGCAACTTATCGGCCACCAAGCTGCTGGTGGCTGCCGACGCCTATTGGCATGCTTTAAGAACTCAACTCTAAAGAACACGGCAAAGTTCACTCATGTATTCCAGTTCTATTTTCTGGTGCTATCTCTTTCAATATTTTTCGAGCTGATGTGAAAGCGAAACGACGAAACGACTTTCTTTGTTTGTTTTGTTATGTTGGTAATGAGTTTTGTTTATTTTCGAAGCTTCATGAGCAAGCAGGTGGTGACGAGATTGAACTTCCACAAAAATACTCAAGAGAAATCATGGCTAAGCCTCGCATTCTGGTTGATTTGAGACCAGACGGGAAATTACTCGATTCTTCGTTTGATGGATACAAACTGTCATTGGAACCCGTCCCCACTAAGAGCTATGCTTTGCCATCAAGTAAGAATCTTTGGTTATGTGCAGGATGGTTTCAATAAAATCTCGTAATCAGGAAATTATTGTCGGATGGTGTGTTGCAGCATATCAGTTCTAACTAATAAATCTGATTTTTATTTTCAGAGCCCGATAATGTCACCCCGAGTGCCGATCAGTACTCATTCTTGCATACTAAGTTGTTTGGTCTGCACAATAAACTGTACTGTGATCCATGGACCGATAACATTTACTTCATTGACGATAAATGGAAAATACTTTGTTTTAATTCTGACATTGATTTTGTTGTATGTAGTCTGTTTTCGAACAATTTACTTTATCTCTTAACTATTCTGTATTATTTATGTGTTGGTGTTTACTTATCAGAAGGATTCCCCGTTTTCTGAAGTGTGGGAAGTACCAAGTCACCATGAAAGACGACCAGGCCATTACAATTTGTCCATAAGTTTTGCATCAACTGACTTGGTTATTATCGCTGATGGAGCTGGTACATTGCATGTTGTCGATACTGGAGATCGTTCATTCAAAAATAGGAATTGGGAGGTAACCATTTTCATTCCTATGATTGCTACCTTCTGCACTTGCATAACACTGTGTGCCACATTTGTTTACTTCCTACCATGCAGATTGCATTCAGCTGTGAGCCAATCGGAGAGCAAAGAGGTTTTGTTGTATTGAACAGCCGGTATTATTGTGGTGAGCTGCACTGCCTTCTTCTTCATATTGCCGAACAAGAAATTGAGGGCTCAGATGGCAAGAAGTCAAAATTTTCATCAGTGATAGATTGGGTTACTATAGAAGGTAAATTTTTTAAATGCATCAATATGTCCCAATTCAATCTAATTTCAATGAGATTGTTAATTACTATTTTAATAAACTTAGGAGAACTAAGTCAGCAAAACTGGGGTATGAAGACAGCAAGGCAATTAGTTGGTGGAGGCAGCATTGACTTTGCTTCTCTAGAGCCTAGTTGCACAGCTTTGTTTGTTGCAAGTGATCGGCCTTTAAAATTTACTGTAGACTCTGAAAACCCTGTTGCAGAAGATAAGCAAGATAAAAAAGGTTAGTACTTAACACTTTAAGTCCAATTGGAGGACTTATTTGCAGTACAAGGTGGCCTGATTTGGTTCAGAAGTGAGTTTTCCCCACCACTTCCTCATACGTTCACCCTCAGGAGTCAGAAGTGTGCCCTCCTTGCTTTGGGGGCTTTGTGAGAAGAGTTCACTTTTGGACCAAATGAGTTGTCACTTACGACTCAATGTGTTAATAGACTTTTTTTTCCTGCAGTCGAGTACAAGCACCAGATTGTATTTTCATGGCTTCAGAAAGGTGATGATATTACTCTGAATGTGCCTGTTGCTGCTGATGTTGCAAAGTCTGACATTAAAGTCACAGTTAGTCCATTGTCTCTTCAAATAAACATCAGAGATAATGTAGTTCTCGAGGGTGCCTTACATCAAAGAGTTGATTCTGATCTTACATGCTGGACTTTGTCATCAGGGAAGTGAGTATAATCTTAGGTGCTTAAGCTATCTTTCCTAGCAGCTAGTCCAATTAAAGTATCTTCTCTCTCTCTCTCTCTCTCTCTCTCTCTTTCTCTCTTTACTTATTTTTATGGTGTTATGTTTTTTTCTCTTATATACAGATTAGAAATTATTTTAACTAAAGTGGAGAATGGTGTGGTTTGGCCTGAGTTAATTGTTGGCTGTCAGAAAGGTGAGGAAATAATGGATCCTGCCCTTGTTGAAGAAGTTCATCAACGTCTGGCCCATCTTTGTTCAGAAACTGTGGAAACTGCTACAAATGGTACTTATCTCTTTGAAAAAGCTGACTGAACTTTTCACTATGTAATTGAACGATTATTCAGCTCTAACAAATATTACAGATGTTGCACCAGCGTATAATAGTCAGGAGCTAGAGGATTGTGATGCATTTCCGAGAGACACCTCTGTGTTGTTACGCCTTGATTCCAAAGACCATACTATTTCTCATCAGGTAACAACAATTATGAGGAATCTGTTTCCCTCCTGTCATAAAATGCATGCACTAACTAAATTTGTTGTTTCATATCTTTTTCAGGTCAGCATGGGTGGGCATCAATGGCTGTTCAATGTTTCTTTGACAGCTGGTGCACCTCCTGCATTGTGTGTTAGGCATGATGTTGATGCTTGTGTCTGGCAGATGGATGAAATGAATCGTGACTCCAATATCTGGCCTATTACGCATGTAGGAACATTTTTGGCATTCGGTTATGTCCAGGCATCAAAGCAACACAGAAAGTTTACAGTTTGTCCATCAGGTTAGTACAACCTGCACATTAACCTTACTTCATTCTTAAGCTAAGAGTCTTTTAAACTGACCAAATTTTGAAAACTGACCAAATTTTGAAAACTGACCATCCCCCCCCCCTCCCTTTTTTTTCTTTAGATATGTCCTATGCAGCTATTTGTGATACGTCAAGGCATATATATTTGTATCGGCAACCATCAGCTGTTGGAAGTGAATTACGCAATCGTTCAACTGGAAGAAGGGTAGCCCAGGTAGCCAAACAACAATTGGTTCAATTAGAGTCCGATTGTCATGTCATAGGGTGTCATGCAACATCCAACCATTTATATTTACTAACAGATGAATCATTATTTAAGCTTATTTTAAAATAGCTTAGCATTGCATCTAATAACATTAAGTCTAAACATTAAACCTGTCAACACAATTTTTAATTTTTCTTGAAGAGAAAAGGAAGCATATGATTTGCCAAGAATTCTCAGACAAAAAAATCTTTAAGTTTTCGTCCACTGGTGCCCTGGATTTGACATGGCAAAGAAATGTGAATGATGTTGCAATTTCTGTTTTGCAAAACACAGATTAAAATTACCCATATCCTTAGGAAATGTTTCTGCCTGGCCTGGCAGTCCAATAATTGTCAATCAAAGTAAAACAGAGGAAGCATTATTTTTTATTTTATCTGTCACATTCAGTAATTTGCTTGCTTTCTAAAGAATTATAAATTAAATCTATTTCATTGATTTTCTAATTTCACAGTGCATTTCAATTACAACATTACAGTATCACAGAATCAAACATGTGTAATGAAAAATCGTTAAGTATTTTGATGGCAAATTGTTTCTCCTTAAACAGACAAGATTCAGTGTATAGTGTATGTTAGTTCAACACGGTACACATGCAAAATAACAATTACGTAATTACTTTACTTTATACAGAAAAGAAATTGGCTACTTACATTCTAATATCACTGACCATCATTTCAATCCGTAGTCATTGAAAAGACGAGCACATTTTGCACAGGCCTTATCAATATCTGGATATTCGTATTTAAAACCATACTCCAAAACTCTCTTGGGAATAACCTTTTGTCCTTCAGTCATAATCTTGGCTCGCTCATTTCCAAATGCTAAATCTAAGGCTAACTTTGGAACAGGTATTATTGCTGGCCTCCACATGGCTTTTCCAAAAGCTGAGGCAAATTCTTTGTTTGTGATCACCTGTGAAAATGTAACTTAGTTATAATGTTATTTTTTGTGATGGAACTCAGATGAAGTATATCAGCTTAAAATTCAAAATCTCACTTGTGGAGCAACACCGTTCAAAACACCCGAAACCTTTTCATTTTCTATGGCAAACTGAATGAGTCTTGAAATATCATCTATGTAGATCCAGGGCATGTACTGATTACCAGATGCTATCGGACCACCAACACCGAGGAAAAATGGTACATACAGTTGCTGAATCATACCACCATTGCGCCCCAGAACAACACCTTCAAAAATCAGGTTTAGAATAAGGAAATTTTAACTTGCAAAATAATTAATACATAAAGAAAGGAAATTTACCTGATCTAATGGTAACCTGACGCACTCCTGAATCAGGGGGAAGTTTAGCTGCTTCTTCCCATGCAATAGCTAGCTCTGAGAGAAAATCTGTTGCAGTTACTTGACTGTCTTCTGTATACTCAGCTGATGAACTTGGTGGATAAATACCTGTAATAAAGGGTCATTCTAAAATACATGTGACTCATAAGCATCATATAGATTACTTTCAAAAAATCCTGACCTACACCAGAGATTGATACAAATACTTTTGGCTTTTTGGGAGCTGCTAAAATTGCCTCTTTCAGAGATCGTGTAGTATTAACTCGACTGTTCCAAACATTTTGCTTGAAACCTGGTGTCCAGCGTCTCTTAGCATCCAAAATGTTCTGGCCAGCCATACTAACTACAGCTGTGGTTCCATCTGGCAAACCTACATTTTTAAGTTCATCCTAAAAAAAAAAGTGCAAGGTAGGTTAAAACTTTGCAGGTTTACAAGGTGTGCGCACACGCAGACGTGAAGGAAATAAGAATGTACAAGTTCACTAACCCAGCTCATGTTATGCGGTGAAGGCATTCTGGAAACATTTGAAACCTGATAACCATTTTTTAGCAGCTGCATAGTGAGGGAGCGACCTATGAAACCGGTTCCACCACCTAAATAGAGTATAACACTATCAGTATATACATCCACAATGAAAAGACAAGGCTACATGTGTAGCATGATGCCTACTGGCAACCCAGAACATTTACATTTATTCTTTCTAGACCTAAGAATAGACAAAATGAATTGAGCTTATTATTTCTACATTCTATAACCATACAATGTTTTTGTCCAGCAGAAGACAGCAACAACAAAATTCTAACCTCCCTAGAAATATCATAGACCGAGGTTACAAAGGTGATCACGATTTCTTCATCACTATACATACCAACAATGACTGATTTCATTCCTGTCATTTTGGATTAACAAGGAGACGACTTCAAACGAAATTCCACCTCGAATTAACTGCAACCTTTGAATAGACTCCCTTTGCTCTCTAGAATACTATCAACCCCCCCTCCCGTCACCACCGTCACCCCGACCTCCCTCCTCTCCCTTGCAATGATGACATCGGTATACATTTAGTAATTTGAGCCGACTGAATGGGCAAGTATTAGATAAAGTTGAATTTATTCAAGTAAACCACAGCAGAGTAGGACTCTAGAAGGGAAGTTAAGCACTGGAACTTAAATGTAAAATGCCCGCAAATAACGAAAAACGAAAAGTCGCGCTCAACTGCCTTCAACGAATTACAAAAACTGTTTCAGACGGCAACATCGTTTAGTTTTTAGAACTACAAGGCTCCGACTTCATTGTTTTCATGTCAGTCTGCTGAGTTAGCTATTTAACATCGCGAAAAATGAAAATTAGGTTGTTTGATGAATTATTTAACTAATTTAGAGGAATAAGAAGCCCTTCAGAGCCATTCCTTGGTCGTACCATGAGGTCGTAATGAGTATAGTGGTTAGTATCTTCGTCAATACATGTATGTCGTCTGGCATATCGCTTTCTGCAAGAAGAGAAATTTCTTCTCTATTTGTCTCTTTTTATTTTGTTTTGTTGCATTTCAAGTGAAACATTGTTCATCTTTCTTCTTCTGCATTATTTGGAATCTTAACATTTTTTCATGTTATATCACATTGACCTTAGTTCAATCTACACTTACTCTTTGTCATTTTTGTTTTAAGGTTACATTGACAATCTAAATAAATGTACTTACAAGTACCAAGCTGATTGTTTATACGATTTAATTACTTTTTTTGTGTGTATTTTTTGTTTCCTTGATTCTTTCTTTAATGGCAGTATGTTGTTGTACTGTACTTAAATGAATTGCACCTTGCACCAATCTATCTATATGTTAGTCTGCGTAAGTAAGTTATTTAGAAAACCTAAGAAATAACAGGGTAGTAACAAAATTATGATAATACCAGCCCAGTCTAGGAAAAATAATCAATGTCTTGCTCAAAATTTGTGTTAAATGTTGTTTTGTTTTTATTTATATAGTTTACATGTTAATTTGTGTATAATGTAAATTTTGATTGTGTGTGTTTGTTTTTTTCCCAGATGGAAGATGAACTCGGGAAGCCCATTAAGATTTGCTGATTACTTTGTCATATGTGGTCTAGATTTCACATCAGGACTTGAACCTGATTTGTTTTCAAGTAAGTTCTCTGCTATCTTTGCTTTAAACAGCTTGAATATTTCTTATGCCTAATGCTCATTGTATTGTTTGACAGGTGACACCCTTCAAGCTACACCACTTGAGCGACCTTACAAATGCAAAGTACTAGGTCATTATCCAGAAAATGTGTCGTGGCACCCCTTTGACGCCAATGGAGTGTGTATGGTGAGCATCTTCTGAACTATAAAACTTCCAAGCACTTCTAAATGTCTTTAGCATCCATTTGATGTGGCAGCCCTGAGAAAATCTTACAGTAAAAGGGGCATGATGAAAGGTGTCTGCACTTCTGTTTGGAGTCCTATGAATGAAGAAGCAGAGTGCTCCATTGCTGTCCCTTCAGGGTCACCCCTCCCATCTCCCATGCTGAGTGCCCAGGCTGCAGCTGCCTGGTCTGCATAGTGTGTCAGAGATAAGGATTGGAAGCGTCTTGTTTGGCCGATTGCGTGGCTGGTACTCTTACGGACGGGACCAGGGTGGAGGGCAGGGTCAGCCAGAGCACGCCAGGGCGCCTGCCCGCCTGCAGGCGACAAGGCAGAGCAGGCAGACTAGACTAGACTAAACCTAGTCTTCGGAAGGTGTTTTGGCCTTGCGTGCAGATATGCGAGGGAATATCAGGAATCCCGGTCGGTGGGCGTTACATGGCTCCTTGGTCGTTGCTGAGCTGGGTTCGGCTTGCGTGGCGTCGAGCTGGTCACGCTTCACGCTCTAGGTCCTTCCCTCCTCCACCCCGCGCAGGTGCTGCATCGTGGTTGAGCCACTGCGCGCGCACGTACACACTACACGCACTACACGCGCGGACAGTGAAGTATATGAGAATAGTAAGTTGACTGAATACAACTCTGCTTGTCTTAGCTAAAGGGCTATTCAGTCAACATACTATTTTCATATACTTCTAGACCTGCTTTTACAGTATGTTGTCTTTGCTAATTGTAATCAACCAACAACCATATGCCTCCTTGATGGTCATGTTTACTTGGACCTTTTTAAGAAGTTGTGTTTGTTTGATTGTGCAGCAATCAGTAACCATCTTTCTTGAAATTTTTAGCTCTGCCTTCCCCAAGGGCTGCTGTTTCGCACCCAGAAACACTCAGTTGCACCCAAATTTCATAGCTTTGTTATAACACGCGAGGATGGGTCACGTACCTATGGTGCTAGCTATGTATTCTTTGAAGAAGTTCGTAACAAAAAGATATGCACTGCTATGCAAACTCTGCAGGTATTCCTCTCAAAAACCTTGGCTTCTTGTATTTTTAGAAAAAACAAAACTAATTAAACTGATTACTGATTAAAAAATTCCACAGGCTATGCATCTTACAGAATTGTCTGAAGGTGTTGGCCGCACAAAAGGAGTTGCTGAACAAAATGCTAGTTCTAGATCATTACCAAGGCATTTCAAACTGTCAGGACATCACCCGAAAGATGCTCAAAGCTATTATGATGCAACCAAAGATACCTTATTTGTTACCAAAAGCATAGCACTCCTTGGCCAATTACCATATGTTAAAGCTTCTCAACTTTTTCTCTCAACTCTTCACAGGTTAGTTGTTGGAGCACATTTCAAACATTAAATATTCTTACAATTTTATTACTCTTATTTTTTTTTAAACCTTACAGATACGTTATGATGGGTGGTGCCATCTCTGGAGGCCTCAGTACTGAAAGCTATGTTTATAATCTCCTCTATGAAATAATGGTACCCTTACCAGGAAGATCCTCCAGGATTTCATGTTTCCCCCCGACTCTTCCATCTCTTGGTTCAGACCCAGCTTTAATCATTCAACGCCCATCTTCTATTGAAGAATTACCACTTTTTGATTTTCCTCTTCGTCAGGTATTTTCTTTACTTGGGGCAAACACTATAGTTCAGCTCTTTACTTGTGTGTTACTAGAAAATCAAGTCATGCTCAGTTCATCAGGTAAATTATTTTTCATAATTTTTGTATGAGTTATAGCAGTAAGGTTGGGATTGTAAGTCTCAAATTTTTCTTTATAGATTATCAGCGGTTAACACAAGTGGCAGAGGCTCTTGTGTGTCTACTATTTCCATTCACATGGCAGCATGTTTATGTTCCTATATTACCTGCATCCCTCCAGCATTTCTTAGATGCACCTGTTCCCTTTGTGATGGGTCTCCATAGCTGTGAACCAAGATTAAAAATGGCAAGCGAGGTGAATCAAACTTCAGTTTTAATATCAGTTCACAAGTGCTCATTGCCTTCATTTAATTAATTACTTTTTATTTTATTTTTTACTTTTTAGGCAAATCTGTGTTATTTAGATATTGATAGATGTACACTTCAGTTACCTGAGGAGCTACCCAGCTTCCCACAAAGAAATGAGTTCATTGCTGAAATAAATGAAGTACTCAGGAGATATGATGTAAATGCTCCAGCAAATGGGCCTGTTGACAGGTCTGTTCTAAATTTTGTTTTAAGACATTATTCTTCAATTGCTTAATTTATATTTAACTTTATTTAAATTATCTTATATTTATTGAATTACAGAAATCTTAATGAATGCAACGAAAAGCCTTCATGTGTAGGGCAAGGTGGCCGTGGTGTTACTGCAAGAGCTCCTGCAGTCCAATCTGACATTATGTCCACTAGCTGCACATTACCTTCCGGACCGCATCGGCTTCGACGTAAACATTCTTGGGCTCAGCCGGAAAAAGATGGTGATTTCCTCCCCTCTCGACCTCAAAGCCCTGATGATGGCTCAGATGCTTTGGCAAGACTTGTTGCTATTGCCAAGAGAACTGGTAAAGTTTTCCACAAAAAAAACACTTTGAGAAAATTAGTTTTTGTTTTTTAAATTGATTTAGTAGTTTTTAGCATATTTGTGTGTGTGCATATATGTGCAATATTTTTAATGGATTTTTATCACTTTTAATTGATGGTTTCATTTGATATGTTTTAGGTGTGCACTTGGATGGAATTGATAGCAATTTAAACTGTGATGAGGTTTCTGATGACAGTCACAATGAGAATATAGCAAAGATTCGCACAGAACCTAAAACTGAACAGGAAATTTATGCAGATGATTTGCGCTTCAATAACACCATCAGGGAAGTTTTCTTAAATAGATTTGTCCATATCTTTGTGGCATATGAAAAGTTTGTCATTTTTCCGAGTCAGGTAAGAAAAAAAAGAAAAAAAATTGGCTACACTTTGGCTTTTTTGAAGTTTAGAAAGATATTTTAAATTCTATCTCTTAGGTCAAGGAAGAAGAATGGATGAGTAACCGTGAATCAATGCAAAATTTTGATAAAGCCTCATTCCTTTCTGATCAACCCGAACAGCACCTTCCATTCTTGTCACGTTTTATTGAAAGTCAAATGTTTGCAACATTAGTGGATAACAAAATTCTTAGTATGTGGGGTAAAATGGAAGGCAACTTGCGTGTTTTTGAAAGACGTATCCATGTGATAAGGTACATAAATAAACATAGACATTTAAAATATTAGTATTTCTAATTATAGAGATATTATTATTAAAAATTTGATATTTCAGGAACCGCTTAGGAGTTGGTGGAAGTTTATCCAGGGCGGTGGGATATGAAACAGCACCAATAGTTTGTGATTCTACTCTGCTACTGGAGAAAAGATTATCTTCAGTGGATATTATTGCTGCAAAACCTCAAGAAATTCTTCCCCAAACTGGTGGAGCACAACAATCAAGACCATCTCGTGCTCACAATCGGGTGCGCAGCTTTGCATTATTAGATTCCAGTGTCCTGAATCCTCAAGTTACCTACCGGTGAGATTAATTAATTAATTAATTAATTCGCATTTCATTTCTTCAATCTAAATTTCACAATGTATAATCATTATTTGGATATTTTTAAGGTCTAAAAAGCGTAGTAGTGTGCAACTGAGACCACATCGCAAAGAACGGGAAAGACACAATTCAACCAGTGGGAGTAATAGTAGTCAGTCTACTTCAAATGTCACAGAAAATCTTAATGACTCTCCAAACAGAACTCAAACTATTGGCCCATTTGATATGAAACATAGTTCTAGTCAAAACAGTCTGAACTGTGAATCAGTCTGCAACTCTGCATCAGTCAGTGCACAAACATCACCAACATCATCACCTGCTGGAGATTCCCCTCTGCAAAGTGACAATCAAACAAAGCCCCCTGTTTCTTCAGTTACAAGCTCTGGTGATATTGATGGAAACTTATCTAAAGTAGCCAACCGCCAATCAAAAATATTTACAAGTGATCCAAGTCCTGCTGTTATAGCCCAGACCAATTGGACTTTTGTTGAGACTATGTTAAGCGTGAGTTTTCTTTTCTCATCAATTCTTTTGTAGCATGTATCATCTACTTTACTTATTTGCTCCTTGACCAACAGGAAATACGCAGCCGTACAAAGCGAATGTTATTAGAGAAAATGGGAACTGAAGCTGTTGAACTGGGTCATGGAGGGGAAGGTTCAATTGTTGGAGTTGAAGAAAATACTTTGATTGCTGGACTATGCGATTTGTTGGAACGAGTTTGGTCTCATGGGCTTCACAACAAACAAGGAAAATCAGCTGTGTGGTCACATCTTTTAAGTTATCAAGAAAAAGTGGACATAGTGAAGCCAACAGATCCATCGTTTTTGACTCCAGGTTAGTTATTTAGTCCTATTGTGTTGACTAAGTCCTGTTTATTACATCTATGGTAAAATGGTATATTTGACTTTCAAACAAAAAAGAAATCTGTACTTTGGTAAGGTCATTTGCATTCATCATAACTTGCCTTACTCATCTGATTGTGATATGTCCAGTTCTGGCTTTCATGCTTTTGTTGAAACTCAAAGCTTAAGATAAAATAATCTTCATTTACTTAGCCCTATGTTTTCTGATTGATATTGCATCTATACATTCCCAATGGCTATCTTGATAATAACCTCTCTTTGGTGTTATGGACGCAGCTCTGGCTTGGTGTGCACTTCGCAAGCGACTCGATTGTACGTGTATAAATAATTCAAATAATCTACTTACCCTAGTTTTGGGTGAACTGTTTGTAGTTTCATTTACATAATTTTCCTCCTTCCCCTTTTTTGTTTGTTTAGAGCCAATTCATACAGAATTTTTAAAATGTATGAGTTTAACTTTTGGTCCACTTTGGTCTGACATGTTTTTTTTTCGTAAGTCTAAATTATGGTGCCTGGAAAAAAATACTTTGGGATAAAGCCAACTCACATCCTGGATATAATGTCTGGATTGTCTGTATTGTTTAAGTTTTTGAATTGGCTCTTAATCTCTCCCTCTATTATTGTTTGATTTGTTCAGTTTTATTAGTACTGTTTTAAAAACTGTATGGAGTGAAAGTTCTTGCTAACTGGCTCTGCCAGACAGCATGGACAACTTTAGTTGTTAATGTTTACTTCTCTCTGCATGTGTAAATAGATCTTGCCTATTTTTGCTTATGTAGTGTCTTTTTTTCCTTTCCACCTTATTTACTTTAATTTCTGTTAATGTTGTTTGTGCCTTTTTCCTTTTTATTCTGCTTTGGTGTTGGTAATAGTGGATATTTCATCAAAATCAGCAAGCACTGCTTCCCCTATACGAGGTCTATCCAGAAAGTTATTTTTCTCTGGTAATTCTCCAAGCATATTTGACGTAGCCTCTTTTTTAAGTAAAGGTCGAGGTAAGCTTTGCATGAGTGACTAAGCAAGTGTGTGATACACATCATATTGCTATATTTTAGTCTAATTTTCTTTTCATGCATGCTGAAGCTGAATTTACAGCATGACTTTGATGTTCATCACATAACAAATCCGACTTTCAGATCTACATTCTATGGCACTAGAGCCAGACTCGTCACCTAACGGCCGTGGACGATCTGAACGATGTCGATCGCTAGATCGTAAGCAATCTCCAGCAGAGCGTAAAAGCCTTGGTTTGGAGACTCAACCAACGTCATTATTAAAACCACTGCCCGTTTCAGTAACCTTTGACATGAGGTATGTAACCTTCAAAGTTAAAATTTAATGTTCAAACATTAGAACAAGTATATTACTCATCTCTTCAATTCTGATAATTATGTTAATTAGGAATGTCCAATCAATGACTGATATTAAAACTCACATTGGGTATGCAAGAGCGTGGGTACGATTGTCTCTTGAGAAAAAACTTCTTTCAAAACATCTAAGAACTCTTCTCTCTGATACATCTTTGCTCAAGTAAGTAAAAAGTGAAAATAGACAGATAGTACCTTATCTTCTTCTTATCCTCTAAATTCTTTCCATTTTTCTACTAACTCGCCACTTCGTTTTCAGAACCCACTATAAACGCTATGCATTCCTTCGCTGTGAAGAGGAAAGGGAGCAATTTCTGTATCACCTTCTGTCTCTCAATGCTGTGGACTATTTATGCTTTACCAATACATACACTACCACCAGTAAGTTTCTGGGTCTGGGATTAACATTTTTCCAACTCTGCGCTCATCTCCATCTAACTACCATTTATTGTTTCTTGTACTTGGTTTACCTTGTTTCTTATTCTCAAGAAATGTTTTTAATAATCTATAATTTTCAGAAATGCCATACAGAGTAGTAATATTTCCATCTAGAAAATATAGTGCTGCTACAACTTCGGCCAATTCTTGGGTGCAAGTTGCGGGTTCAATTGGAGAGTCAAACCAGGTTCCAGTCCCTCGTGGTCATCCAGAATTTGTATTTCAGGTAAGCCTGATTTTATAGCACATTAAATAATCCAAGTGCTCAGACTTTTTTCCAAGAATTTGGTGCTGTAAATGTTGACAGACTAACTGACATCTACACTTTTTGTTTAGCACAAAAATCTGGGCGTTCTTACCACGCTTCGAATAGGCCATGACAATTCAGGGCTCTCTCCAAAGTGGATGGTGGAGTATGTACTTGTTCGAAATGAAATGACAGGTCATACCTATAAGTATGTATTATGATGATCCATCAATTTAATGTTAAAACTGCACTCCGTCCAACCTTCAATGTATATTATGCTTATTTTTTGACCTTCATATCAGGTTTCCATGCGGGCGATGGCTTGGACGTGGGATTGATGATGGATCAACAGAGAGACTTTTAATTGGAGAACTCATTCCCAATTCTGATACAAGAAGTGAACTGGCTGAGACATGTAGCACACCACCTCGATGTCGCAGCCCATCTCTCCCTCGTGACAACAGGAAAGATATCAAGCCTTCAGTTCCAGAAATTCAACACATGCTAGGTCAGAAAAACCACATAACAATGCAACCTTTTTGTTTAAAATATGGTCTGTAATTTTAATCTATGACTGTTAAATAGGTGACTGTGTAAACAACATTGTGAAACTTCACTACCGTCGCCGAAGCCAGCCACAGGCAAGAGACAACAGTTCATTAACAATACTACTCTGTGGTGAAATGGGTCTTGTATCTTGTCTTGAACAAGCCTTTCTTGTGGGTTTCAAATCTGCTCGATTGTTTGGTAAAAACTTATATCTTTGGGATTATTTTGGTGAGTAAAAATCAGTCTAATTTGTTGTGTTGTGTGGGAAATCAATGCCGATAATTAATACTTATGAACTTTCGTTTATTTTCTATAGTTCGTGTTAGAGAACAATTCTCTGAAGAGCAGCCAATACCTGTACCAAAGGGAAGAGTACAGCAGCAGAGGGAACGATTAGAGCGCATGGAACGTGCTGAAAGAGCTGAGCGGTGGGACAGAGGCCGCGGTGCTGTACAGGAGCGTCGACCTCTTGTTGACCAAAATAGCGCGCAAAGAGAAACTTTAGCAGGAGAGACACGACTGGCTTATAGTGAACTCATTAATAACGTGGATCAATGTAGTCATACATTAGGCAAGGATGGCAAATTTCAACTCTTCATCTGTCTTGCTGCCAGGTAAGACATCAGTGTATTTTAACTGATATTATTCTAAAGTGCGGTCCACGCAAGGCACTTAGCTCACATTTGCTGCTAGTAGGCAAGTGAGTGGATTGTTTAAATGCACAGGAACTCAAGGGCCATAGGTCAATGGCAAGGCAAGTCCATCGCCTCCAGGGAGTTCAGAGTTCTCTGTTGCTAAAAAAGTGCTAGGTGTTGACTTAACAGCTGCTTTTTTCCTTAATCTAAATTCTAACCTTGTATTGTTTTATATACTTTACAGAGACCACATACTGTCTCGAATGATACCAGAGCTCTCTGCAGCAAAAGTAACCCTGGAAATGTACGAGGAAAATTCCTTCCTCCGTGACCAAAACCTTTTGACTACCCTGCATCAGTTACTGGCCTCCTTAGATGAATTTGACATAGTGCTAGAGAATTCAATCACAAAGGGAGTTGGAAGGTAAATTCCTTTTTACACGAATCTCATTACTGTGTGTATTTTGTTGGAAAGTTTATCGTAAAATTTGGTATTAGTTGTATTCATTTTGAGGAGAACTTTCCTGTGCATCTCTTTTGTTTTCTGAGTTTGTGTGTCAAGGAATGCAATCCTTTTTCTTGAGGTTTCAGGTTGAGATTGCAAACGTAACTACTGTATATGCTGTAACTCCAGATCTCGTTTCAAACCTCTAACATTTTTAAATATTGTATTTTGATACTCAGACCTAGCAAACATTGATGTTGGCTCAATCTTTCTGTCAGCTTCCAAGCATTTTTATCACTTAAGTTATGATGTTAATGCAAAGAGGAGGAAAAGGCATTACCTAATTACAGTTATTGATGGACTATAGACATTTTGAACTTTTATCTATTATTTTCATGATGGAACAGTAGGCTTAAGATTTTGTAACATCACCACTTAAAGTCATGGGAAGCATTTCTTGTGAGTAGTGGTTATTTGAAATGTTTATAGTTTCACTGGACTTTGTAAAAGACAATTAAAATGACAGAAAAGTAGTCGTTCATAATTAATATTTGACAACTAAACAAATGTTTTGTAACTTTCTTGATTTTACGATTAGGTTGGGCTCTTGGTTTCACCTTTAAGAACTTAAGTTTTGTTCTGCTGTTACATTTTTCAACCTGACTCCTGTTTATGCATTAAATTGGGTGTTCCCTGCTATGAAATGTTGTTTTAATTTTTATTTTTCCAGTGGTTTATTTTTTTGTTGATGTTTTGGTTTTGTTTTAGTGCCATATATTGTTACCACTTTGTTTCCTGATAGTCAAAAGGAAATATCACTAACTCTAGGCAGCTAGACCAGTTCAAATGTGTTCAGTGTTTTGTGAGCTGTGTGCTTTTACTTTTTGTCTGATCATGTTGTAATGAGGTATGAGTAAAGCAATATTATTATGTACGTGACACGGTGAATAACATGGCTGTGGGGAAAATGAACATTTTCCGGCAAAAATCCAGATTCACCCAAGGTCACTGGCAAAAGTTTTTTTCTAATTTTCAAAGTTGTTTTAATCGAACATTTGCCAAGGTTGATTGTTGCGAAATTAGGATTCGCCAATCTTGTCTAGCGAATATCCTAACTTTTAGTTCTGTTTTGCCAAATGCAGAGTATGCAGTTCCTAAAACAGAAAGGGCCTTTTCTTCTAAACCTAAGGTTTTTTGCTGATGTAATTTTGTTTTTGTCAAGCATTTTTGTTCCTCAAACTTTGTATTGTACAAATGTGGTTTGTGTTTATTTAAGCCTCATGTTAGTCTTTATACTCAAATAGGAATACTCATTTTGTAAGGTCTCACAACTGCTTTACCTACCTTTATTTTCCTCATGTTTGACTGCAGTGAGATCTGCCACTCAAACTGATACAGTCTGTAGTCAATATATTTTGCAGAGTTTCCTAGCCTGTGATTTAATACCTGTGTTTAATTGTGGTATTTGCTCTTCTGAGAAATATACAATTTCATGAGCTACTCTTCTTTCTTTGATTTTGTTCATTGCAAAATGTATTTAGAGCATGCATACTATCAGTTTTACTCGGATCTACCTTCTTGTATGAAATGAGCTAGCTAGAACTTGGTTTGTTTTGTATAAAAAAGCTTATCAACCTTATGAAAGTCTTTGAATACAATTCGATGTGATATGTGTATTACTGATATCTTCACTTTTATTTCTGGTGCAGTTTAGTATGTTGTTTTGATACTTGTTTTGATGCTTTTTTGTCAATCTATATATGAATACCTTCTTTAAAAATATGTATCAGGCATCAAAAAGATTTAATTGAATTGTCGTTGTCTGTGCCTACTTATTTTGAAGGGTTCGTTTTCTGTGAGGGGGGTCTTTGAAATATGAAGTTGAAACCTACAAAGATACAAATCAAAAACTAATCTTTATTAGTTTGATCTGTTATGGATAAATCGTCGAAACTCTTGTTGACAATATGAATGAATGGCCCTTTCTCTTGTATGAGGTAATTTTTTGGCTGTTAATTTTACTGTACTATTTTTACTGAGAAGCTCATCAACATTTCCATGTATGTAGTAAGAATCTAAATGTAGCTAGTTTATTGAATTTCAAATGGCAACTCTTCCATTCCATTGCATCTTACAAAAAAAAGAGGAAGCCAGAGTATTCTCATTTCTTCAGATTTTATTTTGTCAATTTGACATTTCTTGACATGACTAAGACGTTTAAATGACAAACCATGTTGGAACTAGCTTGATGTAGTGTTTTAAAAAATCGTCAAATTTGCTTTTAAGCGTATTTTATTGATTGATTTTTTTTTTTGTAAAGTATAATTTGTTTAACATTTATGATGTTTTCTTTTTGTTAAAATTGCCATGTCCTGGGCTAAGCAAATCATATATTACCAAAGATTATGTTGAGGCCTCATGTTTAAACTGTGATACTTTCTGGGTGGGCCTTTTCCATGTCAGATGTCTTCTACAAAAATCAGAAATCTGTAGTCCTCATTTCTGTACTAGATTGATGATTTCAGACAGAAGAATGTATGTTGCATTAAAACCCACAGTGCAAATCTTTTTTTACTTTTTTCTCAATTTGTTGAGATGTATTCATATTGGTTTCAGTGTTTAAAGTAAAAATGAATTTTATGAAATGTCACAGCAAGGTGTCATGTAGATTGCATTTATATGTTCTTCTCTCCAACACCTATTGCAAATAAAATATTCCTTTTGGTGAAGATATGAATTATGTTTTCTTCATAGGAGAATCCTCAACACCAATAACTCATGCATAAACATGTGAAAAGTAATTTCAGTAGCTGACATTAGTTCCAATTGTACTGTATTTCATGAAATTATCCAACAAAGTATGAAACATATTGTCAAAACAAGCCCAAGCAAAGGCTTCAGCCTCATGCTTTACACCAACAGATAGCTATAAAACTATCATCATATTGTTATGTTTTATGAGATGGGACAATGATACAAGAGATGGTTCAGTCTATCAACATTAATAAAAGTGCATCACACACACACCTACATCTTGCATTATACATAGATTATAGACGGCTTGCCTTCAGAAAAGACAATGATGCACCACCCTGAATAATCCCACAGTCTTAAATTCTTTTCAATTGTTTCCTTCAATATAAAATTCTTTTGCCAAATAGGTGACAGCAAAATATTCAAGTGCTTTTCAGTCAACAATTTAATAATATCTGAGAATGGGGATGATGGAAAAGAACTGTGGGCCAAGATGTCAAGAGTTGTTACATTTAGCGAATAGATTCCTCTCTTGAGATTTCTATAAATGATATACTCCTATTGAGATATAAATAAACAATTATTCCATACAGATCTGACAGGAAGATCACAGATCTTATTGACAATAACAGAATATTAAATTATTAAATATTGCTACATGATTACAAACAACATCCAAAACATTCAAATACAACAAGTTAACACCTAACAATACAAGAAACCAGAAATAAAGCCTAAAAGGAAGTAAAAAAACTTCTCAAAACATATGTATGAAAAACATAACAGGCTCACAAAATACCATTGAAGAAAAGTAACAAGTGACATATTGGCAACATACAAAAGACAGAGTGCATTTCTCTTCTAAATCTTTGAGAGATCTGCTAGAAATATCTTGCTTCAGGAATGGCCTCATTATAAGTAACAATTCTACTCTGTTGATGGACTTTGGCATGCCGTTTTAGGTCACTATTTTGAGTAAATGTTTGAGGACATTCTGTGCAACAAAAAGGCTTCTCTCCTGTATGGATACGATTGTGTCTCTTCAAGTCTCTGTTTTTTATGAAACGTTGTCCACATTCAGCACAGACGAAAGGCTTTTCTCCTGTATGGGTTCTGTAATGCTCTTTCAGACCACTGCTTCTTGTGAAACGCTCTCCACATTCTGTACAACCGTAAGGTTTTTCTCCAGTGTGTATTCGTTTATGACGCTTCAGATCACTATTCTGAGTGAATCGTTCTCCGCAATTACACGAAAAAGGTTTCACACCAGAGTGAATACGAACATGACGTTTGAGATCGCTGTTGTGAGTAAATCTTTGACCACAGTCACTACAGCCAAACGGTTTTTCACCAGTATGTACCCTAAAATGTTCTTTGAGTCCACTGCTCCTCGTATACCTTTCACCACATTCTGAGCAGACAAATGGTTTCTCACCAGTGTGAATTAAAAGATGACGTTTTAAATCACTATTTTGAGTAAATCTTTCTTTGCAGAAGGTACAAGGAAAAGGCTTCTCACCAGTATGAACTAAACTATGCCTCCTTAGGCTTTTGCTGCGGGTGAATCTTTCTCCACAGCTGGTGCAACCATATGGCTTTTCACCAGTATGAACACGAGCATGTTCTTTCAGATGACTACTGCGAGTAAACCGCTGTCCACAATCAGTACAGGAAAAATGTTTGTCACCATTATGAGCACTTGCATGACGTTTAAGATCACTATTTTGAGCAAATCTCTCTCCACACTCAAGGCAGACAAATGGTTTTTCTTTCTTGGTCTTAACTAGAGTTATTTGCTGTGACGGAGATGTTTCTTTGATTTCAGCTCTAACATATAAATCTCTGCGTTCTGAATATTCATCAAACTCCTTTTCATGTTGGTGAGCACGAAAGTGTTCGGTAAGTTGCTCACTAGTGCTAAACCACAATCCACAGTCTGTACAGCCAAATTCTTTTTCTCCTGCATGAAATCTACAATGATCTTTCAACAGAGTGCTACATGAGAACCTCATCCCACATTCAATACAACCAAAAGGCTTTTCCCCAGCATGAGTTTTAGAATGCTCTTTCAAAAGGCTATTTTTTGAAAAACGCTCCCCACACTCAGGGCATATAAATTGTTTACCAGTAAGATTAGAGTTTGGTTTAGGATCAGCAGTAAGAAAACCCTTATTGTTAACTGTAAAACAAAAAGGTCTGTCGAGGTACACCACACTATCAGTTATATCACGTTCTTGCGTGAAGAGTTGGGAACAAGCTATATCAATTGGAACTTCTTCTACTGTTATGCTGGGAGTAATTGAATTGCGTAATACTTTTGAGGGGGAGCAACGATTACAAGTGCCCCGAGTCACTCCACATACATGTGCAACTCTGTCCATACTTAGCATTACAGACTGACCGTTTAACTGGGCAACTTGAACTTGTCCTCCCTGCAATTGTACTTGAACAGCTTGTAAGTGTGCAGATTGAACTTGAGCAGCATGAATGGGATTCGGAGGCACCTGAGCAGCTTGAAGTTGAACAATTTGAGGACTGTGAACTTGGGAAATATCTTGAGCATGAACTGCAACAGGAGTTTGAACCTGAGGCTGAATGTGAGTTGCAGCCTGGGCTTGAACCTGAACCTGCACCTGTGCCTCTGCCTGGGCAAGAGCATCTACTTGAGACTGAGCTTCTTCAAGGGTAACAGTTTCAAGTCTTTTACGACATTGTTTTTTGTGTCGCTCCAGATACATGGGCGCTGCATATGGGACAGAGCACCATGGGCACAGAAGCAGGGTGGCTGTAACAATATAAAAAGTTAAATGAACTCTAGCATGGAAATTTTGAAATATTCTAAGCCAAAATCTAATGACTTACCTCCATCTGCTTTGACCTTCGGTACTTCAAAGTCTTTTCCAATCTCTTGTTCCAGCCATGCTATCCCTGCCTCATGCTTAAGATTGATTTTACGTCTGGAAGAAAAGGTCCAATGAAATTTCTACCATTTTCTTCACAACAGTGCCACCTAAAGCTTTGATAACTCACGTTGTAGAAATGCTAGTTTGGATAGCATTCGCCAGTGATTCAGAAACTTGAATAGCCTGTGTTATCACAGGGGTCTCAGCGTGTAGTGTTTGGATTGTCTGTTGTGAAGTTTGAAGTCCAGGTGAAGGAGCTGTCAATACTTGCGACGCTCCCGCAATAACCTGGGACGATGCTGCCCCATAGGCTCGGTGATCTTCTGCGGATAGCTGCACATCCATGTTTTCCGTGCCGACCATCTTGCCGGCAAACTGCAACACACACGGTGAAACGTGTGTCATGTTGCGGCCGCGATTCGCCTGAAGCCACAGAATTAGTTAAGCAATGCACAACAATGAAGAGAAAAGAAACATTCTGACACACAAGAAAAAAACATGCATGGCAAATAAAAAAAGAAGAAAGTGACAGTTTTCACACAGGCACATATAAAATCAGTTTTTGGGTAATAATCATACTCTTGAAAAAAAAACAACATGATATATTCTAATTATTTACGAGAAACAACGAGACAAAATGTATAGTTCAAAATAAATTAATGAGTCTAAAAAGCAATGGAAGCATTTTCTAATTAAATTTTAAATGTTGTAGATCAATTTGTGCAAAAGGGTAGGATGTGTAGGTGTGTTAAGCAAAACAAAGAGGGGTGAGCCAAAACCAAGCAAGCTAGGTCACTTAAAAAAATATTATTGATAATAATATACATAGATTTTGAAAGTCAAAATATCTGACCACCTACCCTACCCACACTCCCCGTCTACAACACAGGTTTTGAATATTCGGAAGCTGTGTTCATTGACTACCTGATAAATCTCTCATTCACAAATAATGAACTTTTTAAGGGAGGCAGGGAGTTTGCTTGGAAATAGTCCATCAAAACTGGATAAAAAATAAAGCCCAACATCTGATCTCCAGGTACAAATCCATTGCACAGTTCAACAAACTTAGCTACATTTAAACACCTGAATAAGGACAGCAGGAAAATAAAGTAAAATATATTGCAATTGGGTCATTCATGACTTGTTATAATTTTCCAAATTTAAATTATTGAAAATTATTGAAAAATAAAATTTTTAAATGTTTGGGTGGCATTGGCAACAAGTCTTTCTCACCCTACATTTATATTGTGTGGGATGAGGCACTACACTATAGGGCGAGGGGTGGGTGTGGTATAGGTGGTGGGAAGAGTGAACTTTCAGTGCCTAGAACCCTCAAATAAGTGTCCACATTCAGTTAAATTTTCCCTCTTCCCTTTTATAAGAAATTCTAGAAATATGTTTCAAGATCAGACTATTAAATATTCCTAATGGGTTAAAAGTCCATAGAAAGTATTTAAAATTTGTCAAATTGTAAGTGAAATTAGATTTAAAAAATAAGCACAAAGCATACATGGTGCAAGTGTAGCCAAATAGAGTGCTCAAAAGACAAGAAATGTAGGGGGATTTTATGTAAGATGTATGGGATTGTAAATTCAACCTTTCAAGGGCAATACATTCACAAGCCATCAGGCAAGGAGAAGCAAGAAAGCATAAGGATGCCTTACAAATATGCTTCACGCTCTCACCTTCGGCGAAACTGAATGCCTCCGTCTGGTCATGGATAGGACATGTCATCCAACACAGTGTCCTGCACCAAATTTATATCACAATCCATAAAACTAGATAAAATACTAGCTGTATGTTATGTTCCCCTACAGGTTTTCAGTAAAAAGTTCAGCAAATAATTGACTTCATTAAAAATGGAGGAGAATTGAATCCATACAGTGTTCGATAAGACTGTTTTCGTGAGTGAGTTTGCAAAAACAATTCTATCTTAAACTAGTTGGGAGTATATTATTACAAAGTATTTTTTATTTATAGTTTTAAGATACATTTGTCAATAAGACCAGTAATTTGAAAGGGATGTGAGAAAGAGAAAACAATGCAAGACTCGATTAAGTGTCTAAATTAATAATGAATTATCAGATAAAACTTTGCACTGTTTTAATGTTTACATGATGAGTATATCCCTTGTTTACACAAAGTGAGGTTAGATATAACACATTCGATTACAGCAGTTAGTCTGCGAGAAAAATAACAGTGTATTCCATTAAATCCTAGAAATTATTACTTCTTAAGTTATGCATACCTGAATATCTTGTGATGGGCACACGCAAATTGTTGATTGTCGGACCTATGGACTACTAGCCTAGCTATAGCTAGAACTAGCCATTTCAATATGAGACCCCAAAAGGGTCATGATTGTATAAAAAGGCATCTTGTCACATTGGTAAGATGTTGTCTGAGCCTGCCAATATCATACGGGTAAAGATGATTGTCAACTCATTTACAATATAAATACTTGGACGCAAAAGCATATGAAACATACGTACAAAATGTACGAGTAGTAACTGTTTTGCTGAATGGTATGATGTGTCAAACGAGCACTAGTAGAGGAGAGGGTACTAGCGAGCTGGCCCGAAAGCACGGTGCCGAAACGCAGAACGGTGTTCTAAAATGGGAGTTCTGGTT